GCCGAAGATGTGGGTCTCATGATTGCATTTGGGGCACTGGAAGACGCTCATGTTCTGAACCAGACCCAGAACCTGCAGGAAAGAAAATATCACTTCCTGTTGTATTCATCCACCCAACCTGAATCCAATAGTTTATGCATACACTGACACACACATCAACACATTACCGGCACGTTCACTTTCTTAAACATCTCGGCTCCTCTGCGAGCATCCAGCAGAGCGATGTCCTGCGGCGTGGACACAATAACCGCACCTGTACAAGACAAACATCACATGACCCGACTTAACTTTGAACTAAACATGTGTAATTTACTTCTGGGGGCTACAGCAATGAGGATACTTTTAAAAAGTGAAGTTGTGTGTTTAGAAAACATCATTTGTATTAGGTGATGTGTGACAAACCCACCTGCTATGGGGATGTTCTGGGTGATCGACAGCTGGACGTCTCCAGTCCCAGGAGGCATGTCCACTACCAAATAGTCCAACGACCCCCAGTCCACCTACAATCACAAAACATGTTTCATCAGCTTCCTTTAAATTCAATAAACTGACAGTGCAATCTAAACTGGTCTCACCTGTCTGAGCAGTTTCTCTATACCAGACATCACCATGAGCCCCCGCCACACTATCGGAGCCACATCATCAACCAGAAAACCCATAGACATGCTGGCAGAGAAGAAAGTGAATCAGAAGAATAGGTCACATAATAGACATGAGTTAGGGCTATTTATGGGTATAACAAAAAGGTTGTGATGTAATGTTGATGACAGTCTCACCAAGGAACCCCATAGTTGGTCAGGGGGATCATCCGATTATCTGAAAGATATGTAAAAAAAGAAATAAAAAAACACTTTTCTGTTATAAAATGTTTACTGGAATTTTAGAAACCTTCAGCTGAATTGAACTAGCCATACTGTCACTGAGCTCTGGGTTTCCTTTCAGGTTCATAAGTTTGGGAATCGATGGACCAAACACATCGGCATCCAACAGACCCACAGACTTTGACTGGAAGAGAGAGAAAAAGTCATACAGTATAGCTCTGAGGAGGACAGACTAACAGCTCACTGTCATATGTGTGTTGTTTTTTGTTGGCTGAAATTACATACATATATAGTATATAAAATATATAATATATAATGATAAAGCAGATTCCTTACCATGTCATTGGCCATTAATCCTAGAGCCAAATTCACTGGCATGAGAGAAAAAACAGACCAAATCAAATCAAATACTTCTCATTGAAAATGTTCAAACATTAGGCCACCTGAAACATGATTTTCTTTTAATATTTTTCTATTTAAAGATCTTTTATGATCAGCGCCAAAGTAAAAAGTATAAGATCTTACGTTCAAAATGGTTTCTTGTTAAGTAACGTTTAGCAGAAAACACTGCAATAGCAGATGAAATCTACTTCACCAATTACTTTTCCATTTCAGAACCTTATTTCTTCCCTTTTTTTGGCATTGTTCTATAAACTCCAAACAAGGCCATACCTAAAAAGGAATTCATTCAAAAGCACCAATTTTACCCTCTTAAATAAAATAGCTCTGGAAGAAAAAAGATGGTGAGAGAATTTTCCATTGTTTAGTATGAGTTTTACTGAGCACCTGCAGTAGTGGACTTCCCAACACCACCTTTTCCTGAAGCCACAACAATGACTTGCTTGACCCCTGGGATGGGCTTCTGTTTGGGGAGACCTCGGGCCATCTGCTGCCTCTGCCTCTCCTGCAATGCCTTACTGTCCACTGACCTCTGTAAAACAACAAACCAGTAAATAATGTAAACTAGGCAAAAGTTTAGTTTGTGTTTGAGAGATTAAAAGACCAAAAGACACATTAACACTGAAATTACAGATAGTCCCAGATGACACTGTGGTCTATGATAAATGGACTTTGATCTGAACATAAAATGTAAACAAACCTTTTCTTGATGCACGCAGGTAAGTAAATCCTAAAAGGTTGATTCTATTCATCTGGACATAGCATTTTTCAGTGGGAGAAACGTTTCATCACTCATCCAAGAGACTTCTTCAGTCTCAGCTGACTGCAGGTTTCCCCAACCTTATAAAAAGACCCCAAAGTCCATCTTTTAAACGAACTGCAAAAGAAATTTCCCTCGTACCGACCATAGCTGGACTTACCATCGGGCATACTGGGCATCTGCCCGGTGGGCCGATGGAGTTTTCTTTGTAACGGTATAAACGATAAAAAGGTGGTGGGTTGGCCAGATGCTGGCCGATGTGTAAAAATAACTCAGTTGTTTGGTGGTGGCTGTGGCGGAGCTTCGACAGAGGCCAGCAGGTGGATGAGGGAAAAACGGGAGGCAGGAGGAGGAGAGACCCTGAACTTCAGGTAAGAAGTTTCGACCTGCAGTCTATCTGGGTCAGATGTAAACCAAGTTTAGGTGGAGTTTATTTTCGTTGTGCTGACTTTTTACAGTCAGTTATAATAACTCACACTGCATACTAGCTAGCATGATGGAGTTTCTATACATCTGGGTGGGTGCTATGATGTTACTGATGTTGAACTTTATTCATAAGGTTAGTTAGTAGAGTTGCCAACCGTCCCGTAAAAAAACTAATCGTCCCGTATTCAGAGAAAATATTACACTTTTCGTATGAAGGTGAAAAGGAACACAGTTTGTCCCGTACTTCAGCTAGAATGGAAAAAGACACAAAGCTGGAGTTATTCTGCGTCTTTACAGTCAGCTGCCTCTTCTTATGTGACGTATATATGTGTATATATGTGTATATGTGTATAACACATATATATGTATATATTGTACTATTCTTAGTTAGCGTATTGTCTGTTTTGTCTTAATGTTGGTTTATAATGGAGCACTGTAACAAAAAATAATTTCCCCCAGGGATCAATAAAGTATTCTGATTCTGATTCTTCTCTCATTCTCTCCCCCTCCCTCTCCTGTTTCTCCTTCTTTAGTGAAAATGCCTGGGCCGATTTTATATATTTCTTTAAGCAAGTTCTTCATGACTGAGCCAAGTGTCCTCTTTTTTGGAAATCAAAGTATGGTCACCCTAGCATAAGGATGGGGGAACCTGTAATCAGCTGAATCACTTGAATAAGTGACATAACGTTTCTCTCACTGAAAACGCTACGTCCAGATGAACAGATTTAACCTTTTGGGATAAACAAACCTTATACCATCCTTTCATGAGTGATTAAATAGGAGAGTGCACAGTGGGATTACTATGCTTGCTAACTATTCTTAGAAACATGTTCACATATGGTAAATGTGGGTTGTTAATAGTATTACGGTAACAGTATATATATAATATATATATATAATAATAGTATATATGTATAGTATATATATATATGTATATATATATATACATATTATATATAATATATATTATAATATTATGCATATATATATATATATATAGTTCTATAATTAACAGTCAAGTATTTATGAAATCAATAACCACTTCCGGTTTAAAGTTTCAAAATTATCTTTTCGTGTTCTAAATGTGGGTGTTACAGCTAAAGTTTATAACGCTACATAAAGGAGAACAGCAACATCTGATCAAGTAAAACCATTTTAACTCTTGTGTGTGTTAAAATAAAGGTGTGTTCCGGATTGTTTAATTCCCTCAGTGTATTTTACGATTGTCGCTTTTATTCTGAACATGTTATTTCCGGTCGTGTTGTTGAGTTTCCGTTTAGCTTATCACTAACAGAGAGCTACATTAACTGAAGTCGTACGAAGAGAAACACAGAAAAACATTACCTGGCAGCGTTTAAACTGTACACAGCACGTAGCTCCATGTTTTATTTCGCTCCCCGTTCGTAAAACCGAAGATTTATAAACTGATATTTTCAGTAAATGTGACAGTCTGCTGTATGCGAACAGGGCCATGTTTAGCTGTTTAGATGCCCCTCAAGTCGAGGCATGTTTGCGTCATAGTTGCGCAAAATGCGCATGCTCGTGGCGGGTGGGAGATTTGTTTATCCATCGTTAGTCCGTGAGAACTAAGCGCTTTCTAAAATTTAATATGAAACATTTAAAACTGTACGTTAAAAAGAAAGAAACTCGTGTATCAACAACACAGGTTTTAAAAATTATATTTTATTCTTCATTTTTTCCCCCTATTTTGATCCTGAGTGGTGAAAGGTGCTGAAAAGTCAATTTATGGACGACACTACAAGTAAATAGACGGGGAGGGGGAGCAAGTAGGTAAGGACGGTATGCGAAAATAGCGCGCAGTCCTGAACATGTCTGAACAGTTTCAGTTAACGTTGACACGGAAGTGGGTTAAATGGGTCATGTGTTTTCTTCTCATTCATTAACTTTATAACAATAAAAACATATAAGGCACCATTAGTTATCCATGCATCTAAATATATACGGTTGAGCATTGCAACAGACGAAAAAGAGAGATAAAAAAAAAACAAAAACGAGAAATAACAAAAGAAAGAAAAACAGGGGCAATGTAGAATCCAAGAACCTATGCATAGTGTGAACAGAAAGGGAAATCATGATCCACATCTTATATAGGGAGGAGGCGTCCTTCTAACATGAATTGAACTTACTGAAAAGTGTTAAAAGTTTATGGGCTTTGTTTCATTTACAAGTTTCAGCGACTTCTGTCACCATCTGTTTATACATTGTTTAGCTTTGAGATGTCTGCATTTAAGAATAAAAAACTTTCCCACTAACAAGACATTTCTAATCACCAATATACTGAAACTTAGCATTGTGCTAATCAGTACAATTTAAGCATTCATTGCACCTGTATATACACCTGTGCATCAAATGTATGGTAAAGATACAGCTAATGAAACTTAATTATTAATAAAATATACATCATGAAAAACAAAATCTGAAATTGATTCAGTTTAGTAATTTTTAGCGTGCTTATAAAGGCCCCAAATGCTGTGACATACACAGTAAATGATGTGGAAATAATGAATAATAATGAAATCACTGCTGATTGTCTGGTTGTTTATGTTTTCAAATGTTTTTGTGTGTCCGTAGGTCTGTTTGATGACGATTTGGACTCCTCTGAGAGATGAGAACACACCCACATCTGTTTCATAGATGTGGGGTGTTACGGTTCTGAGTCAGCTTTGTGGCATCAGACACACACCTGAAAACCAGCACCTGGACTTCATGCAGGAGAGACTGCCTCAGTAATGATGGACTCTGCTCCTCTACTGTTACATCCTCACGAAGGAGGTCTAGGGGTGTGTGTGTGGAGCGGTAACAAAAGGGTCCGGAACAGAATGAAGAGGAAAACAGGTGTTTAGCAAACATAATTCCAAAGAATAACGCAGGAGATCAAAGTCCAGCTATGTATGAATGTAGTTTTATGCACATCTTCTCCTCCCACTGATCACTTCCTACACCGAGTGGATAGATCACAGCATTCCAGCTTTTCTCATCATCTGTTGTGTGTTTTGTGTGTTTCAAGCGTAATGTGCTCGGGATTCCACAAATGATCCAGTACCTGCATCCTGCTGGAGAACTGTACGTAAAACACACAAACACACCAGTGAACACAGCTGCTGAACATCTGTATCTTCATAAACTCTGTTATCTCGTATCCGTCTCTGCATCTGTGTAGGCACGGTGTTCCAGTCTGGGATTTTGTCCCTCCTGCTCCCCCATCCAACACCTCCACTCCAAAGTAAGTTTCTGTGGTGCTTTGTGTCAGTGATCTGCAGGAATCTGTCTGTCTTTCATCTGCAGATGTTTGTGCGAATTATTGTAATCAGCTTCCTTTAATGGTGCCTCCTTACATTCAGTTTCACAGCTTTACTCATGTTTTTAAACTAGTTTGCTCACAGCTGTACACAATGCTAACATGTGCACTGACTCTGTGTTTTATTCCTGTAGAAAAAGGAAATGTGAAGCCCAACAGGATGCGGACCGGCTGTACATAAAGAAGCCACCAAACGCCTTCATGATTTACCTGAAGGAGCAGAGGCCAAAGGTGACGGCAGAACTGAACATAACTGGCAGTGCAGCCGTAAATGCCGTATATGCAAAACTCTGCATGTATTTATGCATCTGTTAATGCTTTATGCTCATGTTTGTGCATGTGTGCCAGCTGCCCTGTAGTAACAGTGTAGCTGAGTATTTATCTATGCTGACAGTGGGTTCTCATGATTGTCTGTCTTCAGTGGAGGTCTCTCTCAAAAGAACAACAAGCTAAATATTTTGATCAGGCTGAAAGCGAGAGATGCCGTCACGCCACAGAGCATCCAGACTGGTCCACCAAAGAAAACTACGTATGTCCAAAGTGCTAACATGCAGTTCATACATGTGCCCATCACTGCACTGAATTATGAAACAACCAGTGCACAGAGTTTGGATCAACTGATGAAAATTCTCATATTTTTGTTTTTAGGGCAAAAAGAGGAAGAGAACACGAAATCGCACCTCGAGCACAGGTGAGAGGAGATTTCTGGGAATTACGACGTTTTTTCATGTGAAATGTGATGAAAAGAAGACGGAAATCTGTTAACAAAAGAAGACTTACTGTGTTTTTGTTTGTGTTTGTTTGTGCAGCATCTGAACCTAAACAGGAAGATCAACAGGCCAAGAGGCTTTGTGTGATGCCAGCTCAGACACAGCCATCTTCTTCCTATTCAGTTGCGAAGGAGCCTCTTGAGCAGCCACAGAGACAGCCAGCTGTTACCAACCTTCCTGATCAGCAGTCAGCGTGTGTGCAGCTGCAGAACACACAGACAGCAGCTTGATGCACCTGTGTGTCAAGTAAATCCGGTCCTCCCAGCTTCTCGTATGGATTTCTCCCCATCTGCATCACTGGCCTCCTCTGCTGCACCCGTCCAGCTCCAGGCCACTTTTGTCAGTGACACTGATGAAGCACTGCTGTCAGTGGTGGAACAGCTTGACCCCCTCCTCACTTCTGAGCAGTCTCAGCAGCCCTCCTCTCCACTCACTGGTCATCACCTAAATCAGACCAACCCTGCTTCTCCTGTATATACGTCTCTATCCACACCATTTAGCTCTTCTGCCACATTCTTTCAACACCAAAAAGAGCCTATTGGTTTCGCTGACATTCAGGAAGACATGTGGTCACTCCTTAACCACCTCCCTGCCGCTCCACAGCCGGATACATTCTCCTTTCCTAACATTCCTACTCTGATTAGCCCTGCTTCTCTGGAGAATTCCTCTCCATCCAAATTGCTGGCCTCCCCTGTTGCGCCCACTGAATGCCAGTCAACGCCTCCCTTCTTCAGCCAAACTGTAAAAAGTATGATGTCGCTACTTAACGACCTCCAACCTGGGCCCTTTGCACAGCCTCTACAGCCCTCCTCTCCTCAAGCAGACTGGTTCTAACCATAATCAGATCAGTCCTGCACCCCCCAAACCACGGCTACCTTCTGTAATAAAGTCTTAGCTCACTGCCGTCTTTCCTCTCTTTCAGAACTGCTTGCCAGAAATCTCTCCATGTGTGTGTGTTTGTGTGTGTGTGCACGCGTGTACAGATAATCCTTGTTTTGGTGTGTAAATAAAGCTTGATCAAAAAGTAAGTCAGCTCTTGAGTCTGCTTTTGGATCAACCTCTCGTATGAACCCTCTGGGTTTGTGATGATATCACTCATATAAACCCTTTAAATAAGGCTGCCATTACCTGGTGGTATGTGGTCTCACACACTGAGGCAACGAGAGACCTTTGGTACTTTATGCATTCCATTTGTAAAAGAGCACTGGAAAGAGAAAACACACCTACACTTGCCATTCATAGGCACACAGCTCTTGTAAATTAAGCCCTCACACTTTTGATCATTGCCACCATAGCTGCAAGCAAACCTTTAGCTGAGCTGACCTCTCAAGAGGCAAGACAGAGAATGAACACTGCAGGTAGCAGCTCCAAATACATGATGTACATCTTGCACTGGGGCAGTAATGTCAACTCCTCATTATGGAAAATCACTATAGGCTGTTTTAAAAGTCACTAAGTGATGCCATCGCCTAATTTGCATAATTGGTCATGCTTGTAAACTACGCTGTAGGAAAGAGAAATAACATCGTGGAAAAGACATAAAGTGAGTAAAAAACACCCTAAATGCATTTAGAATATATTTAGAACTACAAGTTACATTTATCTTAATTCCAACCCTCCTCCTTTATCTGGGCTTGGGACCGGCAAAAGTGACCCGAAATAGGCACGCTTTTTAAGTAGTTTTAAACCACACAAGACTAAGGGTAAAAGAAGAACATTTTAACCACAATTTTGTTAACAAACTACATTAGCAATCTAAATGGACCAAAAACAGACAGTAGAAATAAGCAGTGTCAGTGTGAAAAAAAAAGATGCTAATTAATCTGGTCCTAATTCAGGCTGATTGTTTTGTTTTGTTTTTTTCAGACATCCCTCCACACACACAGGCTGTGCTGGCTCACAGAAAGAGTGGGTCATCCTCATTTTCGTCAACTGCAGCACTTGACTTAAATGAGTAAGCAGCTGATGTGCCAAAAAGCTGCAAAACATTATTGTATTTGGCTCTCGGAGGACGTGGACGCACTTTTTCTCCTCTCTCCCTTATCTTCCCTGCTTATGTCCTTGTCTAGTCTCGTGTTTTTTGTATTACTTTCCCTGGAACACACTCTCACAGTCTGTTTCTAAAACCTAAAGAGAATTATGGATTTGATCAACTGGTCTCTGAATGCTATTGACACCCTTTTCTCAACGAGAAGTCTGGGCTCGGGAGAGCCCGAGTGCCCTGGAGGGACTTTCCCTGCCGGATACACGATGGACGGGTGGCAGAAATGGAGGATCGTGTGCCTCGAGGACGCTGAAGATATCTACCTATTCGGAACCATGATAACAGGGTTCTTGCTGATTGGAGCTGGCTTGGCCCTGGCTTATCGGAGAATTAAGAAGCGGAACCGGCTGTTCAAACCCCCCCAAGGCTGCCCGCTGGGATTGAAACGATGGGACGAGGCGCGACTTCTCAGAACAGGCTCATTGAAAGCAGCATGGTTAAGACCTTGGAGACGCTTACAGCTGCCGTGAATACTCAGAATAACACCTCGCAGAACAGCTCACTGCAGTTGTGAGTTCTCAGAATCGGCTCTCTGAGCAAAAGAATGACAACACCACGGAACGCAAGTTTGATACCATCATGGGGAAGCTCGCGGTTCTCCAACGGGAGATTGAGAGACCAGTGTCGGAGTGTTAAAGAACAGCTTTGAAATTCTCATGAGTTGTTGCAAAAGAAAAATTACCATCATAATCCGGCTACCCCTTCGGCGCCAGCTGTGGGCTCAAGGCTGGAGCCGAACAAAAACTCCCTGATAACGACTGTGTTGAGTCTGTTCCTTCCCATTCCCTACAAGGCCACCTGGGTTGGCTGGAAGACTGTTTACTTAGCCTGGCAGGGCGAAGGACACTGTCTCAGCTGAACTATGGACACGCACACACATACATATACTGATACTGATAAGCACTCACTGACGCATCACCCTCCCTACCCCGGATCCAACGCCACCTCCAACGCTTACCTCCCCTCTGATGTGGACATCGGGTCAGCTGGAGGCGCAGTCGAAGATTGCAGCGGTCCCAGATCAGATGTACACACTGGAACTCTTTCCCATGTTGCTTGTCTGTGTTTATTGTGCTATGGTGTGTTGATATCTGTGCATTCCTGTATTATCCTTTTGTGTTACACATTTCAATGTTTTTTTCCTCGCTACCTGGCCTGACCTGTCTCCCCAATGTGATGTTTGTATTGTATGTACGGTCGGCAAGGTCTGTCATCTCGGTTGTGGGCAAAAGACCTGCAACTGACAAATAAAGGCTATCTCATCATCTCATCTCTATCAGGCAGCTGGTGTTTTTTGTTTGCTTTTTACCACACTCATCTGGCTGAATACTCTCTCAACTTCAGCATTTGAGTGTGGCAAGGACAATACAGACACATCAGCCTTTGCAAGTTCTTGAAACGGGTTGATATCAGCTGCATCCCTGTACTTCCAAATCTCACTCCAGAAATTTTTTGTCTCATTCCAGATGGATAGTACGCCATTGGTGGACACTCTTATCTATCGCTTCATGGGAGAAGCCAAGGAGGTTAGCAATTTTTTTCTATTTCTCCAGGGCTCTTGTTGTGCTTTAGAGTTTCCTCCACATTGAAAGCTGACATGTACTGCAATGCTCCAGTGTTGTCCGGCAGTCTCACTCTCGACTCATTAGTGAGGGATAAGGCTACACACCACTTTGTGACATTTTTTTTCATCCTCAGGTGCAAGGTGCAACTCAGCTGCTTTCAACTCAAAAATGTAACCAAGGTATGGTGTCATGGTGCTGGGTCGTTGACCCAGCGTTTTGTGTTTAGTATGATTATTGTCTTCTGTTCTAGTTTATTCTTATTTTGGTATTCTGTGTCCTCCCCTTGTGCCCTGTTTGTGTCCCTGAGTTCATGTTGAGGATTTCCTGTTTTACTTTGAAGGTCTTGTCTCACGTGAGTGTATTCTGCTTTACTCCCTTGTCTTGTCTTGCCTATTGAGTCCCAGCTGTGTGCCCACCTGTTCCTCGTTTCCTCATGTGCCTGCCAGTGTATTTTAGTCCCTGTCAGTTAGTTATTGTTGTCGCGTCGTTAACGTCGGTTACCCTCAACTTGCTGTGTGTTTGTTATGTCCAGTCCTCCAGCACCTCTGTTTAGAGTCTCGGTTTTGCTTTGGTTTTGTGTGTTTTATTTTACGAAGAGTTTGTCCAGCAATAAAGCTGCATTTTCAGAGTCCTGCATTTTGGGTCCACCACTTCTGCCTGCCTGCCACACAGTGAAGTATGGGATTTCCGGCTCTTTTTAGAGAACCGGCTCTTTCGGCTCCGAACCGGCTCTTCAGGTTGTTTTGTTGCTTTAATTAATTTATTATTAACAATAATATAAAATTATGCACAAAAGGAATTACTAATGTAAAAAAAAGTGGTTTTATTTATATATGTTTATATATAAATATATGCGGTGGCCCCTAGAGACAAAACACGTACAAACTCCAAAACACATTTCTAGCATGAACTGAACTTCCAAAACAGAGCTACCTAGATCACTTAAATTACACAATTGAAAGCATGAAAGCATATGTGTATTGTTTGTGTATTTATACACAAGCATTCATATATAGTCAAATAATTAAAAAATTAATTTAAAAAACAAATGTTCATTTACAGTGTTGGGAAGGTTACTTTTAAAATGTATTCCATTACAGAATACATGCCCTAAAATGTATTCTGTAACGTATTCCGTTACGTTACTCAATGAGAGTAACGTATTCTGAATACTTTGGATTACTTAATATATTATCATGCTTTTTACAACAACGTGAATGTACTATTGCTGTGTGATTTATTACTGTTACTGAAGGTCCGCGACTCCGAACTGTAGTAAAGGGACCTCTGACTAATATGGCGGGGTCCATGACACAAAGCACCACAGAAACTTACTTTGGAGTGGAGGTGTTGGATGGGGGAGCAGGAGGGACAAAATCCCAGACTGGAACACAGATGCAGAGACGGGTACAAGATAACAGAGTTTATGAAGATACAGATGTTCAGCAGCTGTGTTCACTGGTGTGTTTGTGTGTTTTACGTACAGTTCTCCAGCAGGATGCAGGTACTGGATGATAAGATATTTAAAAGTGTTATATTTGTACTAATTCAAACTAAACAGAGAAATACAAAAAACTAACAAACTAATTAACACCCT